CTGTGATGAAATTTCTGTCCACGCTAGTCTAGATCAAAATTTCACTTAAAAGAGGAAAGGTCTATAGAAATATCTGTGTACTGTATCTGGCATCATATCAAAGTAATGTGCGTATTTGTACAGCCCCAGCGAGTTAACGCTCCATAGAGCGTCTTGTTACAGTTACCTTTGATGCCTCACGATTGTGGGACATCGAAACCATGCCAGAGCGCTCAAACTGCAAGCAGTGAGCGTGCGCAATGCGTAAGCGGCATGGCTCATCCTGTAGAGCGCTCAATATGACCTAAGGCCATAGAGCGATATCTAACTACAGACGGTACCGTTTCGGCCTTATGGGCCTCATCAGTGTAGTGCTGATGAGCAGGATGAAAGTAACTTCTATTTACAGTTACCTTTGATGCCTCACGATTGTGGGACATCAAAACCATGCCAGAGCGCTCAAACTGCAAGCAGTGAGCGTGCGCAATGCGTAAGCGGCATGGCTCATCCTGTAGAGCGCTCAATATGACCTAAGCCATAGAGCGATATCTAACTACAGACGGTACCGTTTCGGCCTTATGGGCCTCATCAGTGTAGTGCTGATGAGCAGGATGAAAGTAACTGCTATATATATATATATATATATATATATATATATATATATATATATATATATATATATATATATATATATATATATATATATATATATATATATATATTAACTTCCTCTGAAAATGTTTGAACTTGTATCTATTATTATTAAAACGTAACTATATTTTAATCTAATCTAAAGTTGTAACTAGGGACCTTAAATAAAAGTCTTATGGTTTCTAGAAGGTTCCTAGCCCTATGTAGGCCTAAATAGTTTCTATTTCATGATTTATTTATATATATATATATATTAATATAATTTGGGCGAATAAAATAAAAAAAAACCTCACTCAAAGTAGCCTGCGTGCAGTCCCAGACTCCCAAAGGAAGACTTTCCTTTGGGAGTCTGGGACTGCAAGCAAGCTGCATTCAAAGCGTTGCTACAATCTCGAAACCAGAGTACATAAAATGCGTACTCCTATCTTTTCTCAGTGAAAAATTTGTCTCCACAAAATGGCGGGCATTTATAAGGGCATTTTGGTTCCCAGATTCCCAGGCGGCAGGGAAATTCAGTGGGAACTTCGCGCGGTTGCAGAGAGTGCAAATTGTTTTTTCAAATGCAAAGTTTGCAAAAATTTTATATCGAGACTTAAAATGGAAAAAAAAGTGAAAAAAGTGTCTAAAAACCCATTCTAGTGGGCTTTTTTTACGAAAAGCAACAGTTCTGAACAGAATATATACAGAAATCATCGTTTAAAAATAAATTTTCAACGTTGTCAGTGCAAGCCAAAACAAAACCCGAAAAATCAAGACAAACTCAAACTCAATAGGTATGTTCTATAAATATTTCAACTTTTTTATAATATAATATAAATTAAGTTCAGTAATCTTTTTAAACTTACACAATTACTTTTCATATTTTTCTGTGTTGCTTGAGCTTGAGGCAACGCTTTTGAAACCATAGTCAGTCGATGATTATTTAGACAATTTACAATCAATCGACAACTAAATATTTTTGTTTCAAAAAAATAAAAAACCTTCGTTTACATCAAAGAAAAACGAAACCCGACGAAGAAAGAACTATCATTTTGTAATCTTATAAGATATTAGCAAAACAGTGACAGTAGTGACGTTCAAAGCATGCAAAAATGTTTTATGAGTAAATTTCGAGAAACCGGCGAAAATACTTTGTTTACAAGGCTGCACGATTTTCACCGTTTTTGTAACTGCACATTTGCTTTGACAGTTTGTGCCTTCAAAAAACTCAAAATCTATCCCCAAACTACAAATTAGACAACAAGATCAACGTTTTGACGATGAAAACGTAGTTTTAGCTTTGTTTATACTTTGTAGTTTGCACTCCTAGTCAAATTCAAACATGGCGGATTTTAATATAAGGGCACGCACAGTGAACTCTAATAAGACTGGAACGATAACTCGGCCGCCATCTTTGAAGCCAAATTGAAGGCCGCCATTGGAGGTACGGCGGCGAAAATACACCTCTTCGAAAAACTCGGATTTCTGCCTTTCTAGCTATGCTAGAACATAGATGCAAAACTTAAAAACATCTACGATTCTTGGACTATTGCACAAATCATGTTTGGAAGCCGTAGAAAAGACTTAACGTTATTTTTGGTGTACCTGAAAGTCGTATTTTGTTCGGCACGGAAAATATTTTGTTATTTTCTTGAATACAAAAATGGTACCTTTCGAGATTTTGCTGTTAGTGGATGTTGAATACTTAGAACTATCCAGAAAACCAAGTTTGAATCTTTGAAATTGAAATCTTCGGACGAAAAACCTAATTTTTCGGCGTATTTTTGCTAAAAAAACAAAATTACGAGGAAATTGAACTCTCCCCAGTTCTTTTTTGAAAATCACAGCGCGCGAACTTCTCCCAGGCGCCAAATCACAAATCGCAAATCAAGGGGGATTTCTACGGAAAAATCGATTTATTCACGTTTTAGAGAAGTCAAAAAGCACTCAAAATAAACAACTATACCTAGACGTTAATACAAAAAGGTATTGGTCCGTAGCCTTTTGTTTTAAAGTTGTTTTTTTTAGTTAAACAGCAAAGTTCACTTCGGCACGTTCAACTAGTGTCGTTTTTATGAAAACAAACCTGATACCCTTCAAACGTTTGCTGTTGTAGGATGCAAAGCAGTTCTACCTATCAAATAAATCGTATTTGGGTTTTTAAAATTGAAGTCTTTTGATGAAAAACGACTTTTCTTTCGTCGAAAATATACTTTGACTGAATTTCCCACTCCTCGAAACTCTCCTTAGTCCTTTTAAAAGTGCAATTTCCTTGCACGGTTGGCTTCAGGCAAGTATGTGCATGTTTACCTGAGTTATCGTTCCAGTCTTATTAGAGTTCACTGGGCACTCATAACAGGTAGGCAATTTGTCTGAGCATGCGCGCAGAAAATCAATACGGCGACGTATATTAGGAGTGTTTCGTGGATTTATCTGGTTTTAAAGCTGATTAAACAACATTTTAATGAATGAAAACTTTGTAATATTTAGTGGAAAACATTAAGCTGTACATTCCAAAGGTTTTAAATTAAAAATAAGTACGCTTGCTTTATTTTATTGCTTTTTATGCTTTGAAAACAGGCAAGCTCATATTTTTTGAAAAAATCTTATCTAATATTTTACCCATTATTTGTTTAATCTGAACAAAAATAGATAGAACACTTGGCTATATAAGTTATAAAGGTATTGTTAGTTGATCTAAAAGATTTCAGTATTCCAGGTACACAATTTAACAAAGAATAAAATTAAAATATATGCATATCAAAAACAATGGTTTTTATTAGAACAACACAGAATAAGATGTTATTTTCTATTTTTACAAAAAACAAGTCTGAAAATAGGATCTAGTCCTCCAGCTTGATGTCATATTCCATTTATTTGGATATTTGAATAAAAGAATGTGAAATAATAATTGAAACTTGTCCAAAATTTGATACCAACACTGGAGTGAACAGATACTATCACCTAAAAATAAAAGAAAACAGAACTTAAATTTATCATATAATGCTATGAAAAAATCTTAGATACTACAAGCATATAGTGAACACAACTCTTTAACAAATTCGCTAAAATCAGTTAAGTTATGCTACGATAAGAGGACGGCAATATATGACAACATCAAATGTTACCATCTTCAGTGTCCAAAAAAAGTGTCGTGCGCATTTTTCGTGGTCGCATAACTGGCATTGCCACAAACCTAGGTGAAAAAGCAATTAGAAAAACCTGGTTTTGGGTGATGAGCATAGTAAAATTCTTGACTTATTCAATTTTCTAAGTTTTTCCAGGTAAATCCAAAATATTGTGTATGGACCTGATTTTTTTCAATTTTCTGTGATTTACATAACACTAGTTATAATTTAAGGGTCAACAAGTATTGTTCAAGACATATTTTCCTTCCAGAACACCTTTTCAAAATACTAACCCAAGCATGTCAAAAATAGTATACATTTACAAGGGCAATTTCAACCCTTTGGCACATTTTTCCCATGAATGATTTTAATTCTAATATATAAAGACTATAGATAAAACTTTGGTTTAAAGCTAGTTTCAAGTGATGAGCATGCCCTAAATTTTAAGCTATACCTCAAAGAAGATAGGTCATTTCAACATAAACATTGAAATATGAGTATACTGACAGCTCTGTCACACGTGTAGTTTGACATTAGCAGACCTTCTTAAACATTTTAATGAAAGTATAATTCACAAAGTTTACATTTTCACTTACTTCTTAACATCTGTTTTAATCCAACTAGCTCTGTAGCCATGAGCAAAATTTAGTGTTGATGTAAAATATCCATTTTGTTCATGTTTCCCCGGTGAAAATATAGTCTATTCCAAAGCTGATTTCGACGTACTTTAGCTTTTCAGAAACCGTTGGCCTTACTCAGTGAGATTATCAACTGTTTCACAAACATATTTGATAGTAAACAGCTAAAATATTCTCCGAAAGTCTATATTTTTGCTCTTCGACGCGAAAATGGAAACTCAAGAAGAAATGAGCCGCTATTTTTGGTCAGCGTCGACAAATTGCCTACCTGTTGGCACGCATGAGAAAAAGCAACCTCGTACCCAGGCTCTTACCTTCGCACGCCCCAAGCTGCGGAATTAGACCCTGGTTGGGGCTGGTCACATGACACCCCAGAATCTGGGGTGTTTTCAATCTCGAAACCAGAGCCCGCAATCCTCTGTGGAGGCTTGCTGAGGCTCTGGGAAACACCGGCGACTTTTGCACGAAAATCAGTACATTTGGATCCAGTACTCCGCTCGACATTTATAAATAGACATTACTGCCGTCAAACATGAATTATGCCGTTGTTTAAGCTTATAACGACTTTAATTCTTCAAAGAACACTTGCCATGGTTTTGAATTGTTGTAAGATACTGGTAGTGATTTATTTTAACTTGTTTAATTACGGTAAATCATGGATTGTTGTGTTATTTTAAATATTATAGGCAACGGCTTATCATGACCTAATATGGTAATGCTGCACTGTTGTTATTCTAATTTTGTTATTTATAGCATATCAATATCAGAAATAGAATAGTCTTTTGATTTCATATGAGAAGCTAGGAAAGCTTAATAAGTTTATTAATGTTATGCTGTGTGTTTCATTGATATGTTTAAACATAATACCGGGTGGCCCAAAAAAAAGTACTCCTGTTTGATTCGTAATAACTTCTAAACAAGTAAAGTTTTTAAAGAGAAATAACTTGCATTAAATAGAGGAAGGACTAACTTAGATTTTGATATATTACAGTTGTATTTAACTTAAAAATTCACGGAGATATTAATGTTAAAAATGGGGAGCATATTTTGGAATGTGTCTAAAATTAGCGAAAATCGGCATATCAAATATTAACTCCAGCATTTGTTTGCTTAATGACATATCAGGCTAACTTGTATTTCAACGAATTATCGTTAAGGTTTGTAAGGGATATGGCGTAGATTTAGACATCTTACATGTAAGTCTTAGCTCATTGTTTCCTGAAATATGAACGTTCGAAATTATGCAAGTATTTAATATTAGGTCTTTGCAAACTTAAATGTACATGAAAGACTGACCATGGAAGGCAGGCGCTTAAATTTTTCGTATTCTTAAATAGCCTAATTTTTTTATGTTTTTAATGGGTTCAAACAGACTGAGTAGATTATTTCTCGGTTAAAGCAGGATGAATATTCTTTATTGAAGGAAATAATATTGCTTTTTGCAAATACACATCACCGTATCAACGCTACTATTTTGTTACGTTTTGTTCCAAAAATGTTGCATGTCTCTGGGGAGTTGCTTAATTGTTATGTCTTATGGAGCTGTATGGTTTGATTGTGTTTCATATAATTCTCAGTTTACTCCATGAACTTGCCAAGATTAAGAAACGGCAAAAGAGTTTGGGTGTTCTTAACAAGATTTCAGAACGTTGCAGAAGTTAGAAGAGCTTCACATTCCGTTGTGACAGCATGCCCTAATTCAGAACTACGAACGATCCAATGACGATCCTTCGCGATGCAGTGGTCTCATGAAATAAGGAAACGTATTCGTGCTAGGAACACACGCGAATTTCGGACGAATGAATCTTGCTTGTATTTTGTAGATATAATAATACTTTGTTTCATAATAAACAATTTGTCAAGTGTCATTTATTTACTGGTAATAGTGCATGTTTCAGTCGGGCAAATCTTGATTAATATTTGATACGCCGATTTTTGCATATTTCAGACACATCCAGAAATATCCTCCCGAATTTAAAGATTAATATCTCCGTGAATTTTTAAGTGAAATACAACTGTACTAGAAAATACATGCATGCAGAAACCCTCGCCTTGCAGACAAAACCTTTATAATTTCCGACGGGGAAGTATTTTAAGTAGTTGTCATGGTAACACGATAACTTTTTAAGAATATTTTTACAAATGAAAAATCCCCTATAAATATCACTTTTAATTACAAAATTATCAATTTCCTAAACATATATATGTTAGGTAATATGTTATTATACGTAATATAAGCTTGAATTTAAGGTAAAATTCAACCACAAACGCTTCGCAAAACGTTTTAAAATGTTCTTTTACTATAGAACTAAACTGCCTTTATCGATAAACTTTGAGTTCGAAATAAAATGATTCCAAATTCTCCCATGCAAATAACTTTGCTTAGTATAATAAAAAGTGTAATCAATAAAGAAACACTGAAATAATACGCTGTCTTGTTTCATATTTATACGCAACGATCGGCTTTTAAAGTAATTACAGTAGGTATGTTATTTTTCGTA